AACTCAAAAAACTTAACACCAAAAAAGTAAATAACCCAATCAATAAATGGGCTAAGGAACTGAACAGATACTTCTCAGAAAAAGATATATAGTCAATCAATATTAAAAGAAAAAAATGTTCAATGTCTCTAGTAATTAGAGAAATGCAAATCAAAACTACTCTAAGATTTCATCTCACTCCAGTCAGAATAGCAATTATCAAGAATACAAGTAATAATAAGTGTTGGCAAGGATGTGGAGAAAAAGGTACACTCATACATTGCTGGTGGGACTGCAAATTGTTGCAACCACTATGGAAAGCAGTATGGAGATTCCTTGGAAAACTTGGAATGGAACCACCATTTGACACAGATATCCCACTTCTTGATTGATACCCAAAGGACCTAAAATCAGCATTCTATAGTGACACAACCACATCAATGTTCATAATAGCTCAATTCACAATATCTAAACTGTGGAACCAACCTAGATACCCTTCAACAGATGAATGGATAAAGAAACTGTGGTACCTATGTACAATGGAATATTACTCAGCATTAAAAGAGAACAAAATTAGACATTTGCAGCTAAATGGATGGAATTGGAGAATATCATGCTAAGAGAAGTAAGTCAATTCCCCCCCCCCAAAAAAAGGCTGAATGGTGTCTCTGATAAGTAGATGCTGATCCACAATGGGGGTGGGGGGGTGAGGTGTGGGGAGAATGGAGGAATTTTGATTGGGCAAAGGGGAGGGAGGGAAAGGGAGGGGGCATGGGGGTAGAAAAGATGGTGGAATGAGATGAACATCATTACCCTAGGTACATGTATGACTGCACATGTTGTACAACTGTACATCATGTACAACCAGAGAAATGAAAAGTTGTGTTCCATTTGTGTACAATGAATCAAAATGCATTCTGCTATCACGTATAACTAATTAGAACAAATTTATAAAAAAAAAAGGGGGGGGGCCCATGTGTTAATTGCTTGATCCTCTGCCTTTGGTGCTATTGAGAAATGGTAGGACCTTTAAAGCGGGGGGGGGGGGGGCTAGTAAAAGGAAGTCAGATCATGGTGGTCATGCCCTTGAAGGGGACTGCAGGACCCTGGCCCCTTCTGGCCCCTCTCTTTGCTTCCTGGATGCTACCAGGTAAACAGATTTCCTCCATCATGAGGTACTGTGTCACCATAGGCCTAAACAGGGTCACGTGACCATGGACTGAAACCTCTGATACCATGAGCCAAAACTAACCTTTCTTCCTTTTAAGTTGATTCTCTCAGGTATTTTACCACAGTGGATGAAAAAAATGTAACACTAAGGGTATACTTAGATAAAGCAGAGGAAGGAGACAAAATAATTCCTAACAGATGTACTACAATTTAAAGCAGGGGTCAGCAGACTTTTTCTATAAAAAGCTAGATAATAAATGCTTTAATTCTTGTGAGTCAAACAGAGTCAAAGACAATATGTAAACAAATGAGTATGGCTATAGTCCACTAAAACTTTATAGATGAACACTGAAATGTGAGCTTAATATCGTTTTCACAGATCATAAAATATTATTCTTCCTTTTAATTTTTTTCAGCTATTTAAAAATATAAAAACCATTCTTAATCTCTCAGGCTGTAGAAACACAATTTGCAGGCCAAATTTGACCTGTACTATAATTTGCTGATCACTGCTCTCAAAGCTGGTTCCTCAAAGTGTGGCCCACAGTCCAGTCATGGAAGCAGAACCCAGAACCTGTTAGAAACACAGAACCTCAAACCTGATCCCAGATCCTCTGAAGAAGAACCTGCATTTTTAATATCACTCTGTATCTGGTTCACACATTCCAGTTTGGAAAGCACTGGCCTAAGGCCTATACCATTCCAAAAGCCAGGCTATAGTCAATGTCTGTGCTTTTCTAAGAGGAGTGACCCTGGAAAAGTTCTGAGCCTCTCTGTTCCTCAGTTTCCCCATGTGCAAGATGGAAATGAGAGCATTGTCTCCCTCAAGCATGGTCTGGAGAATTCACACACATACACAAACTCACACATATACACACAGGGCTTAAAACAATGTCTGTCATTATTATTATAAAATCTCACATTATTTTCATAGCTACCCTCTGAAACCAGCCATGTTTATCCATCTCAAATAAGAAACTATGGCCCAAGGATGGAGAAACTTACCTGGTATCACAAGTTAGTCCTGAGGATAAGGAGAGGATCAAGGTGATAAAAAGGAACAAACTACCCCAGGTCCCAAGTATTCATGCCCATGTTTCCTTTTAAGGGTCTTCTCTGTCAGTAGCCCCTTTTTGGCCCATAAACCCCTTGCTATTCCCTAAGAATATCTGCCATGCAGAGACCTCCCTGGATCTGCACCCCCAAGTTGCCCTCCCATTCCCTGAAATTTATCTTCCATTAAGTTGCATTGTGTTTTTTACAACTTCTCTTTCTAGTTACAGGTTGTAAATTTTCCCTCTGCTGAGTCTTGTAGCTGACTGGCTGTTTTTCATTATATTTGTAGGGCTCAGGGAAAAAAAGGGGGGGGAGGCAATTCCTTTATTTGAGAATCCTGACATTTATTAGCATAATAAAACTCTCAAGATGAAATTGCAGTTTTCCAGACAGTAATTTCATTTGCAGGACAACTTACAAGGAATTTATTTTGAAGCCAGGTAAAACCTAAAATATATGAGACATGCAGAAAGTGCTGGCCCCAAATAAAATGAAATAAATGTGTTAGGGATGGAAAACTCAGCTGTTGTCTCTCTCATATTAATTAGGCAGTGACAGGTACAGCAGCCTGGGGATTTGGGTTCTCAACCCATCTTGGTCTGCTTTCAAAGATGCTGCTGGAAGTTTCTTCCAACACAGTGAAAATCATCACGTCATCTCTCCTGATGCATCACTGCTCAATATGAAGCTTTCATTTGCATGGAGCTTCCATATTGTCATTTAACTAATTTTCCAAAACTACCAAATGGATACCATATAGAAAATCCTCTCCCCTGTTATACAGAGGTTTAGTGAGGTCAAAAGACTTGAACAAACTCACATAGTTGGTACCTAGCAGAGCCCGAACAAAAACTTGGTTCTGCAAAGTCCTGATAGAAACAAAGTAATTTTGATAGTACTTGGTTATAAATTAAAGTGCCTTAGAATTCAGAAAGCAGGGTTCCCTCTATCACTTGATTGTATGTACCCAACGAGACAGGAAGGCTGGGGAAGTTAGAGAACTGAGTTGCAAAACTGATATTATTAAATACCTTGCTACAATGGGTGCTTTTCAAGGGTTCCCCAAAAGGAAGAGACTGTGGCAAGTTTCTGTGCTGCTGCTTAATCCAGGAAAGCCATCCCAGAGGAGCAGGATGGAGAGGAGCTAAGACAGAGGAAGAGCAAGAACAAACAGAGAGTGTCACACTCACCTGGTCACTGCTTAATTTCCTCATGGCTGACTTCTCCATCTTGCAGAACTATAGAGGCCAAATGAAGAGCTGGCTCTCAGGACAGCCCCTCCAGGTGGAAGAAGTAAGAAGAATTGATCAACCAATGAGCTAAGGTTCACTGCATGGGCACTAACCCCCAGCTCTCCTGTGGTATGCCTCGGCAGCAACAGGAGGAGCAGCTGTTTCAGTCAGCTTTTTTGGTGCTGTGACTAAAAAACCTGACAACAACTTCAGAGGAGAAAAAGTTTATTTGGAGGTTCACAGTTTCAGAGGTCTCAGTCCATAGCAGCCAGCTCCATTCCTCAGGGCTCAAGGTGAGGCTGAACATCATGGTGAAAGAGTGTGACCAAGGGAAGCAGATCATATGATGATCAGAAAGCAAAGATGGACTCCACATACCAACTACAAATACATACCCCAAAGTCACACCCCCAATGACCCACCTCCTCCAGTCACACCTTACCTCTTTCTAGTTACCACTCAGTTAATCCCACCAGGGGTATTAATTCACTGATTGGGTTAAAACTCTCATAACCCAATAATTTCAACTCTGAACCTTCCTGTATTGTCTCTCACATGAGCCTTTGGGGGATACCTCAGATCCAACCCATAACAGCAGCCGTAGTACCACATGGGGCCATGTACCATAAGCTGATGCTCAAGTGAGGCTGATCCACGCAGTAAAGAAAAGGAGAGCTCACACAAAACTGGTTCCAGTGATGGTGGCTGTGGGGGAAACAAGTGGCCAAGGAGCTGGGAAGCAGGTGAGGCAAGAAATGAGTGGAGCATAAGAGATGTTTGACACACTCATCAGGTAAGGTAAACCAGTTCCCTGATGTTCCTGGAATCAATTCACCTTTTTATGCTCACCGAGCTAATAATACTGCAAGCATTATCATGCAAGTAAGTTCCAGGGATAAGGATTTGGACCCAGGTCTTCTTAACTCTAGATTATTATCCTAATCTGCTGTCTCTGTGTATGTGATCATAAATGCTTATGCACAAATAGACACCATCACACCATCACTGAGCATAATTGAGGAGTTATTGGGAGAGTCTTCTTGTTAAACATATTCAGATTAAGTAGACACTAGAATCAACACAAGAACAATGAAGACAACGTTAATCATTTCAGTAGCCTGCATACAGAGAACACTCTAAAGTGCAAAAGCCTTGTCAGATATCTAAAAATATTTCTTGCATACCAGGTCTTGGGCACATATGTAGGAATACATGAAATCATCACTTCAGTACTGCCAAACTGCAGTCAAGATATATATGATTCAAAAACAGGGGAGGCTGACCAAAGAAGAGGTTAAATAAGGAAGGCAGCACAGAATCCATCACCTGTCGTGGAAGCCAGGGCTCAGAAGCCTTAGGTAATTCCAATGATAATATCAAAGAGGGTAATGAACTCCATAAGCAAAGTGGCATCTATAGAAATCGTCCCCTCCATCTACAGCATCCTCCATAGAAATCCTTTACAATCTTTCTTCTATTATCTCCATGGCTTTATAAAGAGTGAGAAGCAGGAAATAACTTACTAGAAACCATTGCTTATTAGTGTTGAAAAAGTTTCAGAAGTGTGTTTGTTCAACCGACATTTATTGAATGTTTATCACACCACATGTTAAAGTCCAGGTTCGGCACTAGAATATTTTGGATTATTAAAACATGATCCATACATTCTAGGAGCTTAGTTTAGAGTAGCCATGACAAATAGGGTGAATCTTCTGAGGTCACAGCTAAATTCTCCATGAAACAGTTGCAGCAGCTATTAGCAATTTCTGTCCTGAGCATTGGGATGGGACCCACAGCACAGATGCACACATTTCATATCTCTTGAGACATACTGATGTACTTGATCCTCTGGATAGTGGTAGATCTTCTAGAAAGCCATTGGGATTTGAGTTGGGAAGTTCTTGCACTGAGTTCAGAAAGAGGGTACCCAAAGGGATTTAACTATAATAAGGAAAAAAATAATCATTCAAATAATAGGTGGTAGTCTGGTGGGCTGTCCCTCTGTCCACAGGGTTCCTGTAGCAATTCTCCCCCTGAAACAGTGATAATCTCCTCCTGAAAGGTAAAAAAAAAAAAAAAAAAAAGGAGGAGGGGCATTTACTTAAAATCAAGAAAGCGATATAAACATTCACTAGAGTCTTGTTTGAGACAGAAAGACAAAGACTATGCATATGTCTTCTTCACTCAAATTTCTATAAATAATGAGGCAGGGGTAATCTGCTTTAAAAAAAAAAAAGAAATAAATCTTTAAAGTATTGGAAAATAAGAGAAACCCATCAACAGAATAAAAATGTTGAAGGATCTTTGAAAACCAAGAGATATACCACATGAGATTGTTATAGGTGTCAATGTAGGACAGGGGCTACCTGCCTACAGTTACCACGCAATTAGTCCATATAGGTGGATTAATCCATTATTAGTTCAGAAGTCTCACAATCTAGTCATTTCTCCTCTGAACATTCTTGTGTTGTCTCACACATGAGCATTTGGGGGACACCCATCTAAATGACAATGATCCTCTGTATCCTAATTTAATTGATCTGAGTTGGGGCCCAGGGATCATTTTCTTAAAACCTTCTAAGCTGTGGTCAACATGCAAGTAGAGTTGAGTTCCTAGTGTGGTGAAACATGTATAAGAGGATCCAATAATAACTTTGGGACTAATCTAGAACCCCTGGTGTGTGCTGAAGTCAGGTAGGGGATTTTGAACAGATTGGGGAAGCACATAGCTCCTGGGGAAGCCAAGGAGACCCCAAAAGTTCAGATACTACCTGCCCAAAAGATGAACTACTCACTATTAACTCCAACCCCTACAGCATGAAGAGACTGGAAAGAGAAACTGAAAGCACTCATGGATAATCAGGAAATTTAAAGTTGAACTATCATCTCATAGCCCCAAATTTAGAAATATTTAAAGACAAGCATAACTATAGAAGAAAGATGCCAGGCTCAATAATAGAACTGATTCCCAAGAAAAATAACAAGTTTATAAAACAAACATAAGGAGCCTTTAAGAGATGTGAATTAACTTTCTCAGCAGAATAAGCCATCCATGAAACAAAAATGAGCTATTATATTTGAGTGGGGGGAGAAAGGGGGGAGCAAATGAATAGCATGACCATTTAAATTAAAAAAGAAAAATTTCAGTAGAGGAACCAAAAAAGCAGAATGGACATAACTAAAGAGCAATTTAGAAGCTGAAGAAATGGCCACATCGATAAGAAAGAGACATCTAAATAGAAAAATTGACAAAGGATATGAATAGATGATTCACAGACTAAGAAATCCAACTGGCCATTAAGAGTATGAAAAGATCCTCAGCATCGGCAGCAATCAGAGAGATACGAGCTAAACAATAGTGAGATCCAGTGTCTGCCCATCTGATGGAAAAAAATTAAATGACTGAGAATCCCCAGTGTTGGCAGCAGTGTGGGGAAACAGCCTCATATAGTTTTGGCAGGAACATGAATTGGCACCATGTTTTGGGAGGGCATTCTGGCAGATCTTTTCTAATTAGAATGTGCATACTTTCCTCTCCAGAAATTCCAGTTCAGGGGATCCATCCTAGAAAAAATATTGCACATGTATTCATAGTAACATAGTGACATATACATAGTGATGAAGTCTCTGCAGCACTGTTCATCATCTTGAAAAACTAGAAGTTGAATGAGTGGACGTAAGAGGAGAATGGATAATTAAGTTGTAATATACATTCGTACCATGGAATACCACAGGGCATGTACAAGGATTGGTACGTGTCGTGACATGGAAAGATCTCCTGGTAGTGACTTAGTAACTTACAAGTGTCAGGTATACTTCTTCAGCACTTTCTATGATATCTCATTTAGACCTCACAGTGAATCTAAGAGATAAAGTGCTATTATTAAACCGATCTTACTGACCAGGAAACTAAGACACAGAGGTTTGAGTAGTTGCCTAAATCACATACTGTAATGAAGTTGGGATTTAAACTCAGCACTCTGATTCCAGGGACCATGATTTTAAACACCACATTCTATGATGCTTTACATATAGTTTTTAAAAATCAAGTTGCTGAGCCACATGTAAAAAGTTATATAATTTCTGTGAAAAAAAATGAAACTATATATTTCCTTATATACTTAAGCTTTTGTATTACTGCCCAGGAAATACTTGGATAGGCACATAGCAAAATGATTATTCATGGTGGAGGATAGAAACAGGGATTTTAAATGAATGAAGTGTGGGGTTGCTATGGCATTTGAATTTTCTTAAAATACAATCGTGAATTAATTGTGTAATTAAATTTTTCATTTATAAAAGCTGGCTACTGGATTTCCACATGGATATGGATGCTATCTCTCTATAGCCTTAGAAGTGAATTGTCAGTCTCAAAAATTGAGCTTTGGAAGAGAATAAAGACCTTCGGAGACATCTGGTCTGGGATTCACATACAGAAACCTGCCCTGAGAGATGGGCATTTACCCTTTGCTGGGAAAGCTTCCAGGGACAAGGAGCTCATCACTACTGAAGTAGCTTATGTTGGACAGGGAAACAAATACAAAGGTTTAGTGGGAAGAGCACATGCTGTAGCGGCAGACAGTCTGAGGATTTACTCCTGGTCCCAGCTGGTCCCAGCTGGTCCCAGCCATGAGAACTGGCCAACTTTCTCATTCTCCCTGGCCTTGGTTTTCTGATCTGTGAACTGGGGCTAATACATGTCCCTCACAGAGTAGTGAATATTAAATGAGGGCATGATGCAGATCAGTGGGCTCCATGCTTGGCTCAGAGAAGGTACCAGTATCCAACATTCCCAGGCTTTGCCTTTCCTCTGGTTGTGAGAGGCTCTTTCCCACACAAGTGGAAATCTTCCCTGATCCTGGTTCATCCAGTTGTCCAGGCAGTCCACTGCACTCTATGTCCAGGTGTTTTGGGGTGGGTGACTTTTTTATGTGCCTCAGTCATAAGGTCACATTACAAGCTCTCTCTCAAGCCCTGGGGACACTCATGAAGAAATGAAGAGAATATAAATCTGAGGGTTCCTATTAAAGCAAAAGCCTATTGAGATGGTCAAGTCACTCTGTGAGCCCTTCTAAGCCTGGGAAGCTCAGGGAGATGTTGAAGCCCTGAGCTTCTACCACTCGGTGCTCAGAATCCTTCTATCCTGCCCTTCCAGGCCACTGACTTCCACCTCTGCCTTTCTCTCAGTTACTACTGATGCCAACAGCCACATAACATAAGAGTGGCTTCTCACTACATGCATTGTTTGAAAGACATCTTTCTCAATGTGGGTCTGTGGCAGGGGGACGAATCACAAGAAGAGTGATGGGACACAGAGACTTCCATAACCCCAGTTACAGAACACAGTTGTGCACATGATCTCATTTAAGGCTCACAAGATCCCAGCTAAGACTATTTACATCCATATGCCTGGTGTTGTGGTTTGAATTTTTCCTCCTGAAAATCATGTGTTGAAAACTTAATTGTCTTTGTGATGCTATTAAGAGGTAGTACCAGTAAAAGGCTCTGCCTTCATGAGTGAATTAGTGCCTTTATTTCAGGAGCCACTTCTGTATTTATAGGGAAAAAAAAAAAGAAAGGAATACAACATGAGTTTGGCCCCCTCTTCTCTCACTGCCTCATTCTCTCTTGCCTTTCCACTTTCCACCATGGGATGATGCCATAAAAAGGCACTCACCAGATGCTGGCCCCTCAGTCCTGGACTTCCCATCCTCTAAAATGGTGAGAAACAAATTTCCATTCTTTATAAATTACCTAGTTTGTGGCATTCTGTGATGACAGTGCAAAATGAAACAGGGCACCTGGCCAGGACACCAAAGGTAAATGAGACTGAGTGTTCTGCCCATGGCCACAAATACATCAAGTGCTAAAGCTGAGGTTCACACAAGAGAGGTGTTAACTCCACTACTAGGAAAGCATCCCTAACCACAGGACTGCCTGCTACACTTGAGCTAACTCTCAGAGTCTGCCAGAGGCCTGGCTAGAATGTCCTCAAGAAGGGCACTCCTGAGACTGAGTCATAGGTGTGCGGAGAGTGCCATCAGTCAGCCCCTAGGTATTGACAGTAGGGAGCACTGGGCTATTCAGCATGAGAAGAGGTCTAGAGAAAAGAGCTACAGATGCACGTGTGGGTCATAAGATATAATGGAACAGAGAAGTGGGCCCCCGAGCCTGGCCTAGTCTACATCTATGCTCTTCTACCCTGTTGTTCTGAGTGTCTCTGAGATTCCGCAGCCCCATGGGTCAGTACCTTCAGTCTTGCTGTGCTTGCTCTAGCTCTCTTCAGCCTAGGTTTCCACCTATTTCATATCCCGACTAGCACCCCGAAGAGGGATACCTTGTGAAAATCAATGAGATCCGTGAGTGTGGCATGGCGATTGGGGTCCACTCCCAGAAAGCTGTAAAAGTCTCCAGAGGCATCCACGAGAAAGTGCTTGAAGCCTTTCTGCAGGCGATATGAGAGGGTGTAACCCCAGATTTTCTCACTGACTCGGATCAGAAATGCTCCCTCCGTCATGTTCTCCAGGAGATCTTCTGCATTTTCTCGGCTGATAATTCCTGGTTGAGAAGAAGTAATAATAATAAGCTGGCTGGTTCTGCACCTCCTTCCCCTTCCTCCCCTACCTATCCCTGCCTCTTACCCTGAAGCTCAGCCCACCACACTATCCAGGGTGTGGACAAGGGAGGAGAAGGGCCGCAGAGGCTGGCTAGCACTCACTTCCTTCTACAGACAAGTGTCTTAGCCCAGAGCAACCAGCTGCAAGACTGGGCACAGTTTCTGCCAGGACTGGAGTTAAGCATGCTTTCCTCCAAACTAAAGCACATCTCATTTTGATTAATTGGGTAAGCAAGGGATTATTAATGAACCAAAATTATAGCATCTATTGATTACAAATTCCCATTAGCATGCACAGCTCTGTGGATAGCCATAAGGGTCTTGCTTTAATGACTGCAGCAGAAGGACTGACAGTGGCTACACTCACCTCTCCACCTTTCTGGGGCCAGAAATGAGAGCCTGGAAGCAGTGTTTTCTCTTAAGGGGAAAAAAAAAAAAACTTCCTCCAAATACTTATGCACACTGGGCACAAAGTTTCTGGGGCACAGAATGAAGCTTCACATCCTGTCAAGGGACCATTCTGAACTGTTGAGATCCCATGCCACATAGTGTCATCGTACTACAGAAGTCAGGCCTGGAGTTGGAGTTGTTTATTCATGGATGGCAATATCTCAAGATGCTTTTAGGGAGCTGCTCTCCTCAGGGTCAGGTACAAAGAGCCATGTGTTTGGTGAGGCACGCTGAGGAGCAGGGAGGTGGGAAGGATGGACACAAAATAGACAGACTCACTTCCCAACTCTGCGTTTCCCTGACTATGGGATCATATGCTGTGAAGAAGCCCTCAACTTCTCCAATGTCTTCTGACATTTAAATGATCATATGAGGTCTAGTTCAAAGGCATATTATGGCTTTCAGGTCAGGTAAAGAATCCAAGATAGACCGTAATGTAGCAGGAAATAATGGCAGCTGTCTTGGCTCTCAGCAGGCTACCATACAGTGGCTTTTACATAAGAATTTACTGTAGCTCACCCTCTGGATCAATTCGACCATGTCCTTGGTCATTGATTTCTCTGTTTCCAGACATGCCATGGTGCCATCTGAGATGCAGGTTTTCTTAATACCCCTCTCTGATTTGCCTGCAGTGGATCCACATTGGCAACTGCCTGTGGTGTGTAGTATCCAAGTGGAGATATTCAGAAATCAGGTTGTCTTCATAGAAAGTAACTCAAAGGAATTCATATTTATACTGATTCATGAAGAACCAGAAGGATTCGGAGATTCTAAAAGCCAGGAAATGTATTCCAGACAGAGTAAAAGTGACTTAAAGTTGTTGAGGTGCATTTGGGAGGAGTTGGGGGTACATAGTAAGGTTGTTGCTAGGATAAATTGGAGCCATTCTGTAAGTATGGCCTTAACCTAAGAAGGGCCTTAGCCTAAGTAACTCCATTTTAAAATAAAACTGCATTCTCCACCAGGCACGACTACGGAACTCTCCAATATTGTCATCAGGCATAGCCTGATAAATTAAGTCACTTCCCACAACCCTGATAAAACTCAAAGTGAATCCACTGTCATTTGCCTTCGCCCTGATCAAGGCAGAAGTGAGAGATTAGGGAAACCACCAGACCAGATGTCCTGACCCCAGAATAAAAGATGTCATTGAGCAGCCCAGTAACAGCAGATAGGGATTGAAAGGGCCAGTAGAAGCCCCAGAATTTAGCATAAATGATGGAGCAAATGAACTGACATTCAACCAACCAATACTGATGCACACATGCCCGAAAGCCTGGACTGACATCCCATCTCTTATCATTTGCCTGATCCTCTGCATCATCCTCACGGTTCTCAAACTCTACAGCCACATCTTGACCCTGGTGAGAACAGTGACTTCTCCTCAGGACCCTCTCCTCAGTCAGCGTTCAGCTCCACCCCAGGAGAAGCCTTTATGCATTCCTGACCTGATCACTGCGGTCTGAGTGAGTGTGTATCTGCTGGACTTAACTACTAGGACTTGAGACTTTAGATCTGGCACTTGAACTTAGCATGCAGAGGGAATGTCTGTAATGAGCCTATCATAAATATGTTTGCAGTGCTTAGAATTAACTTAGAATTGGTTGCTTTGAATTGATTATGTCTATTGTACTGCCCAACATTAAGGATTGTCATTTCTTGATTAAGTACCTATAGATTGGAATTGTATTGAATAATGTGAATGGATAAAGCATTGAAAAGAGGAAAAAAAAAGAATCCAAGATAGTTTTTAACATTGAGACTAGTGTGAACATGTGGGTCCTGTCACCATCTGCTGTTTTGGAGGAGCGGTGAATCTCAACACACTGTCCCTTTGCATACCCACTCACTTGCCCTTTGCATACCCTCAGGGGGACTATTCACTGTCAGTGACAAGCAGGGTGGCAGGAGTAGCTGGGAGACTCATCTCTATGATGCTGAGAGGCACTCCGCCACTGAGTATACCAAGTGCACCCGCAGGCCACTTCCCTCCCATTGCTCTGCCCCCAGACAAGGTGCACACCCCTAACTTTCATTATGCCCAAAGCAGAGGACACAGAGACAACCCACACTGTCAAATGCCCCACCTTTTAAACACAGCCAGCATGCTTGGGGACAACCAATGTCCTCCTTTCCTGGGACTCAGATCAAAAGGCAATCGAGCCAACTACCCCCTCCCCAACCAGGCAATGTAAGAGGAAAACTATGCTGATGGAGGCAGGAGAAGGAATGGGAGCCCTCTGGACACAGGATACCAGAAGAATCACACACAGCCCCATGCTGGACGATGCACCCTTGTGCCGCCCCCTGGACAGCCTTGGTGGCTTGGGCCCAACAGGCAGTGACAGTTATAGAGGACCAAAAGGTAATATCCAGGATCCATCAAAAGACTCAGCACGGTCCCTTACCCACCCCTCTGCCCCAACACCAGAGGACCTAGACCCTAAAGATGGCTCAGATGACTTCATTCCTTTTGGATATATACCCGGAAGTAGAATTGCTGGATTATATGATATTCTCTTATTTTTTGAGGAAACTCCATGCTCTTTTTCAAATAGGTGTACTCATTTACATCCCCACCAACAGTGTGCAAGAGAGTTCCCTTTTCTTCATATCCTCAATGACATTTTTTATCTTTAGGATTTGACTTTTTCATATCCAAAATGAACCAGAGCACCAAAATGACCATGTGCTGTCTCTCTCTCATCTGAAATCCTTGAGTGGCTTCCTATTGATTTCCAAGGATTCATAGGCCCCAAAACAGACAAAACTGGACTCCTTGCCCCCTACCCTACCTGTTCTTTGGACTTACAGCTTACCTTCTTTGGGCTGAAGCCTGAAACTTTTTCCCAGCCCCCACTGCCCCAGCTGACCCTGACTCATTGAAAACCCCATCCCTCTTTTCTCTTAGGAAGGACAGGCTGCTGGTAGTCTTCACTCTCTACTTTTGTGCAAATGATGATCTCTGAATAGCTGAATTAGGGAAAAGGTGCCTCTTTGAGCCACAATAGCAAAACTCACAACTTGGCTGAGAGGGTGCCTGCATGTCAATCCCCTGCTCTCTCTTACTAGCCCCCTTGACAGGGTCCCTTTGTACAGTGTACAACTTGCTCAACTGATGATGAAATAATTTCTATCCAGGAGACTACATTGGATATTCTACTTTAGGGTTTTTAAAACATCCACCAAACCCTACAGTAGTAGAGGACAAATAGTATGTGACTGCTCAAGGCTAGAGCCTGTGGCAGCCATGAAAGCACACACCTCGGCCTCCCTTTGAGAGAAGAGCCTGTTACAAGGGGCAGTATCATGCCCTACAGGATCCACTATGAAGCCATGATACCCTCATCCACTAACTAGACACAGAAGATACTAAAGCCACCATTTCTACCTAGTGTGGGACTCCTCTATGAGTGGTCTTCACTCTGAGGCTTCCTATCAGACTAACCAGGATCTTTTCTGAGCTGCGCTCCAGGGGGAGGCTCTTCTCACCTGAGTGTCCTTTCCTGCTCCCTCAACAGATGCCACTTGCGCCACATTCTAAAGGCTCTCCCCACCTTCTCTGGTTTCATCTCTCCTGAGTCCTCTGCGGGCATTTCCTTCCATCAATCCCTCTACTTCTGCTTCCCAGAAGACCTGAACTAAGACAGAAACCTCAAATCTTATCTTCATATCCTAAGTGCCTGGCATTGGGAAGCATGTTTGGGGGAGGAGGGGTTATTAGCAAGAACTCAAATCCTGGCCCTGAGACTTGTTCCAGAGGTCACCTTGGGCAGATCTCTGATACTCAGTCCTCATCTAGTAAGCTGATGATAACAGATAGCAACAGCTGCATCATAAAGTGGTTTGAGAATGAGGTTAATGCATGACTGTGCCTAGCACAGAGCCCAATGGTATAACAAATATTTAACATGCTATAACTAGTTGCATGAGACACGCTGAGCAGCCCACACATGCGTTAGCACTGGGGAACCACCTGGTACAGGTGGCAGCAATGGTCCTAGTACTGCCAGGTTTTGCTGCCCCCACCTCCATCCTCTCAAACTCGGGCTGAGTAATTTTCTCTGAAGATGCCCCAGCCTGGGTCCCTAGGCCCCTGCCTGCACTATAAGTCTAGCTGGGCCAGTCTTAGGAGACTCTCCAGGTGTCTCCAATAGTAAGCTTCTGTGAATTCCCCAGAACTTCCATACTTGCCTAGAAAGCAAAATTGTAATTTGGCACAAGACAAAAGGTAAAATAACCGCACAGTTTAGGCAGCAAATAGCATTTTATAGAAAATTGACCTCCAAGAGAATTAGTGTGGGAAGTCTGAAGGGATAAGCTGCTGTGTTCCTACCCCACCCACTTCGCCCTCCCCATCTCTCTCTGCCCTTGGATCTCAGTCAAGCATAGAGAGGCTGGGAAATGAGCTCTAATCACCAGCCTCCTCATCCCACTCCTGCTTATCTAAACACATACCCCTCCCAGCTGAGGGAAGAAGGAGGGCCTCTCC